GCAGGGCTGTGTTCAGTCTGGGGCTCCGCACTAGTGTAGGCATGGACAAGCAAGTTCAGCAAGGGATGCTAGGATGGTCAGGTTACTGGGGCATATGGTGTATGAGGACAGATTAACAAAGCTGGGTTATTCATCTTGGAGAGAAGGTAATTAAGGGAGGATCTCTCTGTTCTCTGTAACTATGTAAGTGGTCACAGAAGAGGTGCAGCCAGACTTTTCTGGAAGTGTACAACAGAAGGGCCAGGGGCAGTGGACACTGGTTGCAGTGGGATAAATGCTGTTAAGATACAAGAAGGTCTTTACAGTGAAGGTAATTGAGCACTAGAACAGGCTCTCAGACAGGCTGTGGGCTCTCCGTGCTTGGATATATTCAATGCTTACCTGGATAAGGCCCTGAGTAGCCTCATCTTAATTCAAAAAATTGACTCTATTTTGAGCAAGGCTTTGAACCAGAGATGCAGGTGGTGTCTTACTTTATGGTGAGTTTATGGCTAACAGTTGGAGGGGATTTTGCACTTGGAAAAGTACTCCTTTTATCTGTGTTTTGGATATCTTTCATGTAACAGTAAATTGCACCAGAAAAGCATCCAAAAAAATAAGTACTGAGCCTAGTTTGTATCGTGACAGTCTGGCTGTGAGTTCGTAATTGTATCACTCTGAAACTGGCTGCTTCCATAGCTATAGATCTCTGTCTCTGAGCATTTGTCACCTGTAATGAAAGTCTGATACTTTAATCTACAAGTGTGGTGGATGCAGCCTCTGTCCTTCATTGGCCTGGTTCCACCAGATAGGCTGTGCAATCCTGTGGAGGTATGAATCATAGAACCACAAAATGACTTGGGTTGGAAGGGACCTCAGAGATCACTTAGTTCCATTCCTTTCCACTGGTAGGGTTGCCAACCACTAGATCAAGCACCAGCTCAGGCTGCCCAGTGCCCCATCCAGCCTGGCCTTGAGTACTTCCAGGGATGGAGCACCCATCACTGCGGGTCTCTGCCAGCATCTCACCACTCTCTCAGTGAAAAATTTCCTGGCACCTAAAAATAAAGACAATGAAAAGATACAACTTCCCCCAGCACAGCCATAAAAGAGCCAAATTTGCAACCTAAGTGTCTCCAGCAGTGCTTCAACATGGAGAAGTGTGTGAGAAATTCCAAGCTGATCTGAGTGAAGACCTCTCTGGATTTGAGTCAGTGTGTTAAGTCAAGTTGTGCTACTTATGTTAATGGCAACAGGATTTCACAGTTCCTTTCATTTAGGTGTGTATGCAAAATCCTGGAAATAACTCACAAGTTTAAGGGCAGTATTTGATGCAATAACGAACTGGGTAAACAGGTTGACATGAAAACACTGATTGTTCACAAGCTTTGCCTTTGTTTTTTTTTTTGCTTTGTTTGTTTTTGAAAGGCTTCTCACAAACTGAATTTAATGGTATTTCTGATGGTGAACCAGGAATTAACATTTTGATTGGAATTTGTATATGGAGAAATATACTTTGCTTTTTGATTGGGAACTTCAGTAGCAGGGAATCTGTTTTTCTAATTGTGTGCTGTGCCCAATGCGGTGCCTAGAGCAGACTTCTGATCTGTTCACTGCACTTCCTTAAAATCTCCAAAGATATTTTAACTCGAGTGTATGGAAAATAACTGAGTAAGAAAAGTTTAAATGTAGATGATAGCTACGTGATACAAGGTTTTTCAGTGTTGCTCTGCTAATATAACTGATTGAGTACAAGATGTGTTGCTTGCCATTTCCCGGAATAAAAAAATGAGCTGTTGAGTCTTAACGCTCTATTCCAATTATGGTTATAAAACACTGAATCAATTTGTTCTTTAAAAAAAAAAAAAAAAACAAAAAAAAACCAAAAAACAACCCCAAACCCCAACAAAACAGCACTTGCAATAGTGCTTGGAATCACACAGTTCAACAGAATTAATAATGATTCCAGATGGGTTGTATTTGGCACTAAGAAGTGTGTGAAAGGAAACATTTTGGGGAACTCAGTTTAAACCAGAAGTTTGAATAATTTATAAAAGTTCTTGAAAGATTTTTCACTAGTAAAAACACTCTTTCAAGCTTTGCACATTTGGAGCTAACAAAAGAAGTGACACACACTGAGTGAAAATCTTGGTGTTGGTGAAAAACACACATATGTTCACTAACTAAGAAATGGTTGAAGTAGTAAAATCAAAAGCCCTTGCAAAGTCAGATTCTCAGCACACTCCGTGTGCCTTATTTCCCTATTAGTTAAATAGGAAAAATGTCGCTTCCTTGCCTTTAAAGAGTACTGGAAGTAGGAAATCTTTTGTGACTGTGAAATAGATAGATGGTACTAGTGCTTGTATCAATATATGGAGAATAAGGGTGCCTTCTATTTGGAATTTGAAGTTTTCCTTAGGTCTATGAGAGACAAGATGTTGGGCCAAAGCCATTGAGGCCTATGTCTGATAGTAATTTAGTATGTAACGTTAGGCCAACTTGGGAATACTGGAAAAGGATGAAGGCACATTTATAAACTCTTATCCACGAGTAAATGTTATCTTACTCCACTGACTAATTGTCTCCTTTTCCAGTGGCATCCTTGTTATAACCACAGAGTATTTAGTAGACATTTAGCTCTCTTAAATGCAAGTCAGCAACTAGAGTTAGGAAAAGAGTTAGCATCATGTGGTCAATCAGCTTCTTTACTGGTTACCAATGATTCATAGGTTATATTTACAGAGGAACAAGGAAACAGATTACACACACTTCATGTGTTAAATTAAATCAATTATTAATAGGCAGATGGGCATCTTACAAACTTGTAGTCTATAATGAACTTGTGTGAATGGTAAATAGCAAAGCAGAATCTAATAGACTTCTCCAAACCACTTCGTTTGTTTGTTTAATCAATTATGGTTTTAGCCTTGTGTCGGTTAATGGAAATTACTGAATTTCTGCATCCTGCCTCCTCTTCCGTGATGTACAGCACATGCCTTGATCGAGACTTAAGGGAGGATGTCTTTTGCAGGGGAAGTAAAAATAACATCACGTGGCTTCTGTCTTGTGTTATACCCATTTGTAATCTGCAGGTTCGCTTCTTTTTTTCCTACAAAGTCTGAAAGATCACCTGGCACTGTTAATTCCCAAATGCCCCAGAACATTCTCCTTGCAAAATTCCATCATTGTATTCCAAAAGCCTCTTTTCCTTATCTACCACCTCACATACTTCTGCCCGTGTCACAGTCTGTCTTTGCACACCCAAGGCTGCCCGCTTGTTCATTATTTTTGGGCCCAAGCTGAGCAAGTGTGTTTGTGGAAGATAGTTGGACTGCATACCCAACTTCCTTCCTAGTGGTCCAGGTTCCTGGAGGCTCATCGGTTTCAACGAATAAGTGGTATTCTTCTTTATCTACTTTAAAATGTTAACAAATGTTTCCACAGGGAAATTATTGGGTGCCAGTGCTTCCTAGAGCTGTCATGTGTTGATAGTTGCATGGCATTGTTGTGTGTCATTATTCTTGTTACAATTTAAAAGCAGATGCAGCATGATTAGGAATTTCATTTATTAATTCTAGTCATTGAAAATAACCAAGATTTAGCCTTTAGTGTTTCAAGACATAAAGAGTGGCTGGGGGAATCAGGATTGTTTAATTTGGAGGAGATGAGGGGAGACCTCACTACTCCTGATGACTGTCTGAAAGGAGGCTTCAGAGAAGTGTGTGTCGGTCGCTTTTCTCAGGTGACAAGTGATAAAACACAAGGAAATTCTTTAGATTGGTTGTTAGGGAGAATTTCTTCAGTTAAGGAAAGGTCAGACATTGAAATGGGCTTCCCAGAGAAGCAGTGCAGTTCCTATGGAAGTTCCTTTCTGAATTTTCCAGGCCTTCACTTCTTTCCCTATACCATTGCATGAACTTGGAAGAAAAGGTTGCATCCTATGTGTGAGGGTTTACTTTTAGTCTGCCTATGCTGAGGCAGGTTCTGATGCTCTGCGCAGCCAGCAGTGCTGCGCTTTTCAGGCTGTGCTTTCTCTTCTCATCTGCTTTGGGAGTTCTGGCCACAAACACCACTTTCCTTTCATCCTCTTCAAAAGATTTACAGACTTACCTTGTTGTTTCTTCAGGAAACCTTCTTGTCCTTTTCTGGGGTTTTGATATTTTGCAAAAAGGATTGGTAGCAATTCTCACCGTACACCTTTCCTATTCCCTACCTTTTCCAGTGGTTTGCATGAACGGTATCACATTGTCCATATTTGGAATTTTTCCATTCATTTGTTATGTACAGATGAATCTGACTTCATAGTGTTTAAGCCAAAACTCATTGAAGTGAATGGAAAAATTCCTAATTCCCTCAGTTACTGGGCCTCATAATCTTGGCTTTGGTTACTCTTGAAGCTCTGTGACTTTTCTGTAATTACTTAGAAGTTTACAAAGTTGGGGGAAAGTTTTTATAAGTATGGCAAAAGTGGAACATCACGGTTTCAAGTCAGAAAATCTGCTCTGCTCAGTAAAATAATACTAACAATTTGGAATTCATGTTGGGCTCAGGCAGGCAGACCAAAGCACCAACAACTCTGCCTAGGAAATGCAGGGAGGAAAGCCAAACCTCATCAACATTTCTTTACAAGGAAAATAGGTTTTGAAACAATGTAAATAAAGACACTACCAAAGTGTGTGTTGGGGGGGAGAGGGGGGAATAAAATTGTTGTTTTCTGGAAGGACCATCTAGGATGAAGGGTTTTCTTTTTTTTTTTCTTTTTTTTCCATTTAGGAAATGAAGAGGTCTGTGGAAAGAAAATTAAAATCTGTCAGATGCAAAGTGCAGTCTGGATAAGAAGAGAAACAACGAAATGAAAATTAACCCGTTCTTTTTTAGAATGGAACTGTGAATTGTTTGGTGTTTTAAAGATCTGATTTTCTGACAATGGATAAGTTTCAACAGAGGATTTTTAACCCATCTGTTTTTACATCCTTGTACAATGTAGCAGATACTAACACTAACATTTCTCTTATTAACAGAAACAACTTTGGATTTGACTGAAGCCCCTGCAGAAGTATGACCTTGCTGTTCTCCCTTGCTAAAAGATACAGCCTTCCTGTCTCCTAGGCCAAGCCAAGATACCAGCAGAGACTTGAATCCCACAAGATCCTAGGGCAGGCTGGATTGCATTTAGCTCACTAAAAGCTGTGTTACACTGTTAGAACACAAGCTTCAGGTCTGTGTGCATAGTGTTATTTCATTTTTGAGATATATCCTTTGTAACACCTTTCAGGCTTGAGGAAGAGGCTTTTAACTGTTTCCTGCTGGCTGGAGAAGGAAAGGACAATTCCCAGCCCTTTCCTTGGCTGTGGTCTCAATCAAATCCTGGCTGTTGCAACCAGGGCTCTGCAGATGTGGGAACCCCTAAAGGAGAGAATGTGGCTCTACTTCTAATGCAGATTGTAGGACATCAGATAACTATCTGGGCATGCAGGCACACAATGCTTGGATCAAAGGAAAAGCTGCAAACCAAATTGGATTGCTTTACTGATACCTTTTCTAGTTCTTAAAAATGCAAATTTTTAGTAGAACCAGAAGTATTTCTGATATGTCAGAACAGGCATTTGAATAAACTCACAAATTATATAACACAGTAGAAAGTGAAGCTCATTTCTGCTTTCCCTGTTGCCTAGGTGATTAACATGAGATAAATACAGTACTTCCTATGTCTGTTCTTAAATCTTCAAGACAAAGAGTTTTTGACTTGGTGTTGCAAGATGTGAAGGTGTTTCAATAGCTAGATTTCACAAGAGTTGGACTCTCCTCCCTTCCCATTCCTTGTGTCACATTTCTGCTCTAGAGGTCACCTTGTAGGTGCTGTTTAATGCCCTCCAGACCCCTCATAGGCTGGGAGCTGGGGTGGCTGAGTTCAGTGGTGTGTGTGCTTATGCATAAAGCTCACACTAGTTAAAAATACCAAGTAATATATAATTATCTGTAGTGCCATTAACACCCTGTAAGCATTAGAGCAGCAAAAGGTGGTTGGCCATGAGAAAAAACAGATTGCTGGGCTAGAAATCAGGATACCAACTGCTGCCTCTGGCTTTGGCACCGACTGGTGTAACCCTGAGCTAGTCAACTCATTTCAGTTCCTCCCTTTGTTTTTCCTCTGTCATGTCTATTTAAATAGAATGTCCTTTGCGGCAGGGATTGTCTCTCCCTGTGTGTTTGTACAGTGCGTGACACAGCAGGCCCCAAGCTCCACTGATGGCTCCAGAACACAGAACCTTTATGAGAAGAGACTTCTGCTGCAGAAATCTCCATATACAGTGGCTTCAGAAACCTCAGTTCTGTTGCCTGTTTTCTCCTTCCTGAAGATCTTAGGCTGTTTTTAAGAGAGCCTCAGCTAGAGGCTGCTAAATGCTGGTGCCCTTATTTGACAGAGCAGGAAAAAGAAATACAGAAACATGGTGTGGATTTCTCCAGCTCGTACAGGAGAGAGGCATTCTTTTCCTCTCTCCCCAGATTCAGTGCTATGAGGAGACAAGACATTAAATAATAAATACACACATAATCCATGCACACCTTCCAGCTTTTACCTCCTGCTTCCTCTCCTTCACAGGCCCACAGAAACCACATCTGCATGCTCTTCTTTTAGTTCTCCTCTTTCCTCCCCTCCTCAGCTGACCTCTGGAAGCACTTTAGGGATTACCTGAGTAGCTCAGAGCAACAAAGCAAGATCTCTGCTTTTCAGAGGCAGCTGCTGAATATGCCTGTAATGCCTAATCCAGCCTGAGGCTGTAGATGCCTGCCTCCACCTACCCCTGTTTACTGTCAGAATGAGGCATTTGCTGTGAGACTGTGAACATCCACACATTGACAGTAATCAAATTTTGTTGTTGTTACTGCATGTTTCTATCTGGGAAGCCAAAAAGAATATTTTCACCCTTCATTTCACTTCACAACATCACAGTGGGGGAATCAGATCAGAGCACTGTCTCTCGTAAGGGCTGAACTGGGATAAGGGATTGCTGTGTCATTTGTCAGGCACCAGCAGAATTTGGAGGTACAGTCAGAGCGGTCCATTGCCTCGGTGCTAACCGGGAGGAGAAACCATCCTTCCCACCGTGAGGCAAAACAGAGGGCTGGCTGCCTTTTGCATTTAGAATTGTGGAACCATTAAGGTTGGAAAAGGCCACTAAGACCACCTGGTCCAACCGTCAACACAAGTTTGCACACTGTGAATTTGGAGCTGCCTCAAAAAGGAAGCTTAAGGGAAAAAAATATATGTATAATTGCTCTTGTTTTTGCTTTAGAAGAGATTGTTTCCGACGTGTTCGCTGGGCTGCTGTCAGTGCAGCGCTGTGCCTGCGTTGTGCAGGGCGAGCAGCCCCGGCTCTTGGCCGGGCTCGCAGGGCCACCTAGCGGGGTGGGCAGGAGGAGCCGGGTCGCTGCTCCACCTCCCGAGTTGCTCGGCCTCGTTGAGGCTGCTGGTGGCCTCAGGGACTAGCGGGAGGCTGGGGAGAGTGTGCAGCCAAACCTCCATCCAAGAGAAAAAAAGACTGTGACTTGAGAAGGGCATCAAACAGCACTGTCCAAACTGCTGTAAACTGGAAAGTCTCCCAGCCTGGCTTCTGTGTGATTTACTCTCTGAAGCCCAGTACAGACACATTAAACACCTACGGTGGCTCTATGTGGGAGCTGAATCAGCGGTGGTGTGATTCATCCTTCATTGCCATCGTGGATTTCATGGGACACGACGTTGGGTCAGCATGTTGTGATGCAGCCACCTACAAAATGTCATTTACCTCTGCATTGGTTAGACAGAAAAAGCAATAGGAACTCAAGAAGACGGGAGCAGCAGGGCTGGGCCTAGAGGTCCCTGCTGCCTCCTCATCCCATGTGCCTTTGCTGGCCCTGTCTCTCAAGATCGCCTCCTTGATTGCACTCCCTTGATGGAGGCTTCCATGGGGAAAGGTTGTTACCTGATTCCTTTGTTTCCATCACAGGTCTAACACTTTCCTGGCCTCTTCCCAAGCACCTGCCTGGGAGAGCCTGTATGTGGATGCTACATTTCAGATTGATGGCATTCTGAAACCCTCCAGCCCATGCCTGAAATAGAGGCATCACGTATGAGCAGTCCCGTGTGGTGAAAAGCCAAGTCCTTTCATAAGCGTGTGCTTTTTTTTTTTCCTCTTAGGTTGAATACTTTTCCTTGCAAACTACAAAATCCAGATCTGGGAAGGAACATCCTCCTGCCCCTGCTCTGGGGATATAGACCCTGAAGATACTCTTACACATAAAAAATAAACATGAACTGAAGCTTCTGAATCAGAAGCAGATTACCTAAAAAGAGAGAAGCAGTTATGCTGTGGACATTCTGAAATCCTCTTCTTCTGAACTAATTATGTGCTAGCAGTAAAACTGACACAGTTACGGTTATTAAGTCCTTTTCTTATTTTTACTTTTTACCAGAAGTGTAGAAATTCTCTTAGGCCTAATAGGTGCTTGTATCATTTCTGTCCGTGTGCTATATTAAGGAGCATCTTCATCATCAGCAAATATTTCTGTTGTGCTGAAACTGCACACTGAGTTAAACTCAAAAGTGCAGGGCATTTATCCCCTCTGGGCTTTCAACATAAATTTAGTGGCTTATTCTTCATCAATTCTGCATTCTGAATACTGATGACTGGAAGAAACACTAGGCAATACGCTTAGTGTAATTTTTGGTGCCAGTAACCTGTATTCATACATATAAGCTAGCAAAACACAGTTTATACAAAATTATGATTATGAGTGTGTATACAAATAGATGAAAAAAACTCTCAAGGAGTTTCTGCAAATGACTTAATGTCAAGCTGGAAGTAAATGTCAAGTGAGCATCCCGAGCAGATGTGTGGAGATCTTCAGGTCTGATGTTCGTCAATATTGTTATTAGCGATTTGGAGGATAAATACAGAGTACACTTGTGAAATCTTCTCAGTCTGGCAGGTGGGATCATAACGCAAAATGATAAATTGAAGAGATGGTCTCAGATCAACAAGGTGAAGTTCACTAATGATAAGTGTGAAGCACCATACTGCAGAAGGAGATATCAAACGCATAAATACAAAATGGGAAATAATCAGCTCAGCATCAATATGATAAAATTATCTCGTGTGTGTAGCAGTTCATAAATTAAGTATGACTCAACAATGTGATTATGCTGCAAAAATTGCTAATTCCTTATGGAGTTCTGCTAACAGAAATGTTGTGTGTGGAGCACAAAGGATTGTGTAGGCATCAGGCTGAATGCCCACAGTTCATTAACTGCAATCTGGGCACCAAAGTAGATCATACACCCCATTACCTTCCAGACCTTTCCTTTTCCCCCTCTCCAGGCTGACTTCTGAGGTACAGACGTTTTTGCTAGCTTTCCCCATAAAGGATCCTCAGCCTTTTCTTCCCTTCAGAAACCAGTGCCCTGTTCCTGCTCTCCCACATGGTTCTTTCTTACAGAAATGAACAGTCAGTGATCCCAGCAGAGGAGGTCTCCATAGGGATCCCGTAGACACATAGAATCCCATTCAGGTGGCCTGCACTGCTCAGACAAAGCTATAAGGGGCTCTTGCAATAGGATGTGCTTCGCAGAGTATCACAGAAACTCGGTATGAACGCAGCTAAGCTCAAAGGGGAAGTAAAAGCTTCAGAGAAAAGACAGAGGTAATCCCCTGGGAACTACCACTGTCCCACGCAAAAGAAGGAACTGGTGGAAAATGATTGCATTTTATTGTCTCATTTTTATTTTATAGTGAATTCTTTGTTGTTTTGTTTTTTTTCTTGTATCTTTCAGGATCTCATACATAGTACTATGTCCTGTTGGATGTCGGTCAGGCAGGTCCAGGTGTCACACCATGTATGAGCAAGCGATTTGCCAAGATTAAAAATCCCTCTTTCATGATTTCTATGGATCATCCAGTGTTAATAAAAATAAACACATCATATTTTTTGGAAATCACGAACCCATCACCTGTAAATTTGGGCTCTGGGTCGGCTGTGTCCTAAAGCATCTCCTGAGGCCTACCGCTAGATGGCAAACTTTAATTTTTAATTCCTGAATTTCCTTGCCCAGGGCTGTGCTCAGGACAGGGCCGGTGGCTCTGGGGCTGTAGGCTCCTACACAGCCTCTCCTTCCCCACCGCACGCTGTGGTGTCACTACCACCTTTTCAGCCAGGCAAACTCTTCTGGAACCAACATTTGCCTGGAGGGTGCCCTGCTAGCACAGACAGCACGGCCCCAAGTTGGATTCCCAGGTCCATTATGGCTGCAAGCCCATAAAAACAGCAGTTCTGCAACTTTTCTCCGTCTGGGGATTGCTGGTGGTTGCACGGGGCAAGGACATGGGTGAGAAAGGCCCTGGGGAGGAAAGCTCTGTGTGCTGGGCCCTGCAGGCTGCAGGATAACCCTGCTTTCCTTCCTTCCTTCCTTCCTTCCTTCCTTCCTTCCTTCCTTCCTTCCTTCCTTCCTTCCTTCC